ATGTACGAACCTCGTCGCTGAGGAAAATTTCTATCAAAAAATCGTCATCCACTGCACCGAATCGACGTATATACGACGTTGTGAATGGTCAGCAGGCTTCAGTTGTTGTGTGAGCCGGACTTTATGTAGGTGTAAAGTCAATGTACAAAATACGCCACAATATGCCGTAAGAAAGTCTGAGCTCTGGGCAATGACGTGAATAAACACATTCGGGTCTTCGGTTATACTTTCACTATATTTGAGGTGGAACGTACAAACCGATGATGCAGAACCCTTACAATATCTGAAACAGGCTCAGTCTCTTCAATTTTCCTCAAAATTTTACCATTTACCTGGTTAGTTGAACGATTAGTTGCACCATAATCTCCTCGTGGCCTAGTTTTAATTAGAATTTTATTTAGTAAATTTCAAAAATTGCTGTTGTTAAGCGAACCGTTTTCACAAATGCTTGACTGTTAACTAAAACAAAACCTGTTTGGTTTGACTATAGAGTTTGACAGATGTCAAAGTACAGCACTGAACTTTTGAAACCTTGAAATGGATTACCCTATACTAATTATACACTGTTGTCATTATTTTGAGCGTCTCTAAGCAAACTCCCTTAACTACCTTTTTTTCTAATAAATATTAATGCTAAAAGACACTTGAAAGTGACCATTTTATGCATCAAACCAATGCTGAGAGTCATCAGCTGCTCAGTTAAAGTTATTATTTGCATACAAAATAAAATACAATAACAAATTGTATTTCTCACTCACTTCTCCGTCTCCTCCCCCTCCTCCCCCTCTGTTACTAAACCCTGCCCGCTAATTGTTAAACTCAAACTTTCTAAGCGTTTCATTTAAGTTTCTGATAAGTTTGTCGCAGCCTTAATTGCTCAGAGCTTTCCGCTTGTCTACACATTTTGCCTCCATACTTTCCGTTGAAAACTTTAATATTTATTTAAACAATTGCAAATGCCAAGCACAACACTAAAAACTTAAAAACTTAAAAACAAAAACAAAAAAAGTTGAAAATATGAATTTTAAATATTAGCAGTTAAGTGACTTGTGAATTTATGTTAGTTATGTAAGCATGAAGGGAAAGAAAGCAACTCACAGCAAAAGCTTAAATTTAAATTTAAATTATAAAGAAAGGAGAATGTAAAACAAGGAAGAGCGCATCCAAAATTGCAATGGCATATAAATGAGAAAGTAATAAATGTAACTGAACTATTGAAAATATATCTTATACTTTATCCTTGGAAAAAAATTAAAACAAAAACAATAAAAGTAACTTCAAAGCGAATAAGAAACAAATAAACAAATAAAGTACTAAATTCACTTTAAACACTAAAAAAAGTCTAAAATTTATTAATTAACGATGGACCACGAAAAACTTGCGTTTTAAAATTGTTATGGAAGCATAGGATTTCGTCTTCTCGGTTAATAATGAAGGGTCACTTCATTCATATGGCTGTCTCAGCTAGACTCACGCTGAACCATTCGATCTTGTTTTCCGTTCCAATTTTCGATTAAGTTTCTTTTGTATAGCCCTCTACGACTGCTTCCTTTTTCGTGTAAAAAGTCGTTAATCGTTCCTCGTTGCTTGGCGAAGAACTGAGTAGGTACAGCCTCTTTGCAAAATATGGATAAAAACATGCTCAACGATATGAACCTAAGTGTGCTCTGCCTAATTCATAAAAAGAGTCGCACAGTCTGCGCCAAATTCCGTGGGTCGCATATAAGATAAGATCCTGTATTGTATTGTGCAAAAACCTTAATAAGCCGACAATCTGATGCGACCTTATCAGTGTGGCTTTAAACGTGGTAAATCCGCGAACAACCAGATATTCACCATGCGCCACATCTTGATAAAGGCCCATGAAAAGAGACCCAGCTTACACTACCTATTCGTCAATCTTAAAGCGAACCCACGTCGCTACGACAGAATTTGGTATTCCTGCAAAGTATATATGGCTGTGCAAACTCACGTTAAGTAACACCAAAAGCTCCGTCAGGATCGGAAAGAACCAGGTTTCAGATAATGTGATGCCTTGTAGTGTGACTTCTATAATCGGGGTCTAGTAGTGCTCGTAGGCAAGACGAGTAGTCGACCAAACAGTTATGTCATTCGTGACGCGGCTTTCACGTTGCTGTTGACAATGTTGAGGTAATATTGGGTGCGGTTTTCTAAGAGAGGGCTCTACTAGTATTATTTCGCGTTGTGTTCATCTGTGGCTATATTCATTTGAAAATGTCGAAATTTGTACCACTTAAAGTGCTCTAGCGGGGAGTTCTTTTTCATTACTTTAAAATAAAGAAAAATGCTACCGAAAGCCATCGTATTTTACTGGGCGTTTATACTAACCATGTTTTAGCCGAACGAATGTGCCAAAAGTGGTTTGCACGGCTTAAAAGTGGTGAATTCGACTTAGACGACGGAGAACGACCCGGACAGTCAAAAAAATTTCAAGACGAAGAATTGGAGACATTGCTCGACGCATATGCATGCCAGACGCAAGAAGAACTTGCAAAAGAATTAGGATGATTAAAATCATTAGGATTCATCGAGAAGCTTGGAAATTGGGTGCCTTATGAATTAAAGCAAAAAGGCGTCGAACTTCGATTCTGCATGTCAGAAATGTTGCTTCAACGCCACCGAAGGAAGCCATTTTTGCATTGAATTGTCGTTGGCGATTAAAAATGGATTTATAATGATAACCCAAAGCGCATGAGATCGAAGGTGAAGCCAACCACCGACATCCACAGCAAAGCCGAATACCCATTGTGCCAAGTTTATGCTATGTATTTCGTAAGACTAAAAGGGTGTGCTCTATTATGAGCTATTGAAATCGGGTCATACGATCAATAGGGACCTCTACCGAAAACAATTGATTCGTTTGAAAAAGGCCATCGCGAAAAAACAACCAGAATATGCGACCTGACACGAATCACAAATTTTTCATCATGACAATGCTCGGCCACATGTTGCATGGACAATTAAAACTATTTGGAAAATTGTAAGTTGGAAGTTCTACCTCACCCGCCTTTTGGCCCTGACATAGCACCTTCCAATACCACTTATTCAGATCAATGCATAAAGCCCTCACTGGAGCACGCTTCACTTCAGAACAGGGTTTCAGAAATTGGCTCGATTCTTCCTTGACCTCCAAGCCAGAGAAGTTCTTTTGGGATGGGATCCACAAACTGCCAGAAAGATGGGCAAACATCGTAGCTTCCGATGGGCAATACTTTGAACATTAAATTTATAACAATTTTTACACAACAGAGTCTTAATTTTCCAAAAAAAAAAACCCCTCGAATTAATGCATACCCAATAAATAATTTCGCCCATCTTGAAACAAGCAGCTCCAACAACAATTTCAGCCTTAAAATCCATACTCTACAAGTCGCTCTTCATTCCCGTCTGACTATATGGTGCAGAAAAGTGCACGATGACAACATCTGTTGAGTCGGCACTAGGAGTTTTCGAAAGAAAGGTTTGGTTTAAGATTTATGATCCTTGACGAGTTGAGGACGGCGAATACCACAGTCGATGGAATGATTAGCTGTATAAAATATACGACGACATTGATATAGTTCGGCGAATTAAAAATCAGCGGCTGCACTGGCTAGGTCATGTGGTCCGGAATATCCCAGCTTTGAAAGCTTTCCATGCATCACCCGCCGGTGGGAGAAGAAGAAGGAAGACCTCAACTCTGTTGGAAAGACCGTACCTAGATGATGCCGTCGGTGCACATGCCACACGAAACAATTACTAGTTCAGGATACATTAGCTTCTTCATGGTTACGTTTGTCCAAACGCGTAGTTGAAAATCGTGATATTTCGGTAAAGATGTTTAGCTTCTGTCAAGCGGCTTTCAGCCCTTTGAACCAATTCTTTTATGCAAAGGTCTGTGCAAGGAATTGGGAAGAATGACTTTTAGAGCACACTTTTAGCTACAGAGTGTTATTGTGCTCTTAATGCACGACCATGTGCTCGAGGGGATTTGTTTAATAAATAAGCAGTTTGGAAAACTCGCAGAAAAACTTGATCCCCCTAAAATCCTAGCTCTGTCGGGCTGTGTGAGTAATTTTCTCACAGTTTCGATTGTAACTCTCCATTTCCAATATTAAATGAAGCTCACTTTGGGTTGAAGGTAGGCACATTAATAAAGGAAATTATCGCGTTTGGAGTGACATTGTCGAAAGACAGTTAAATCCTCAAAAAGTTACTTTTGGTGTGCTCTATGAGAAGAGAGACACATTCGTCCATATTCCTATAAAACCGAAGGCGGTTATTTTGGTAAATTGAAGAATGTTGAAGTGGACGAACTTTTGCTCCAGCAAGACGGCCCTACCTGCCATCAATTTATTGAAGGGAACTTTTAGTTAGCGTCATGTCTCGCACCGTAAATCTGTTGCGGGGCTTTCAAGATCGTGCGATTTAATACCGCTGACTGTATTTATTACGAGATTATGTGAAGTCGCTTGTCTATGGAACTTCTTATCGTCTTGGAGGAGAAAAATCGGAACGTTATTTCTGACTACAGCCCCAAATGCTACAAAATGTGGTCGAAAATTGCCGAGGGGTTAACTCGGCTGAAAATTATTCGAGCCAGCTACGGCGGCACCAAAATGTAAAATGTTTATCATTAAAACGAAGCTTAATTCTTGGTCAAAACAGTTTATTCTTCTGCTTCTCCATTGGATTGGCGGTCCATTCGATTCTTCTCTTCGCTGTTTGACGCAAGTTGAAAATACCAAGTGGAATCAGGTCGCCCTCCACCTGGTCTCTCCAATGGAGCAGCTTAGATATAGCACATTATTGTCTCAAAATTTCGTTTACCGCAATAATTTCCTTCCTTTCAGAAAAATTGCTGAAAAAAATTTCTTTTTTGGGCGGCCTTAAGCGCGCCACCTACATATTCGAGGTGAAACAATATTGGTTTACCTTTTATTCGTCACTTACCTTTTATTACCCAAAGCAATCCTTTTCTTCCATTAAAAGTCACCAAATGAATTTTCTTAATTTTTAATAACTTTTTTGATTCATGCATAAATCATACAAAAGCAAGTTTGACTTAAAAAAAAAACTATTAACTATTTTGTATATGCATGTATTTAACGGTAAATAAAGTTGTGATGACATTTTTGATCATTCGCAGAAGCATGGCCGGCAGAATTTGTACAGATTTATGGTTGTAGATATATCGGCGGATATTTGTCATTTGAGTAGGTATACTTCAGCTTCTATGTGTAATTAATAATATATAAATGAAAAAGAATATATGTATGTATACATATATTGGTGAGTGCATAAGCTTATAAACACCATCGGCTTGAAATGAATCGGCACGAACAATGACTGAATGAATGGCGATATTGATATTGTCGGTGAATTGAGCGAACTGTGCATTTTATTCAAACTACGCGTACACATACATATGTATGTATATATGTGTGTTAGTCAATGGATGAGGTTATTAAAAAATGCACTTAATTTGTTACTTTCAATGCGAACGACGATAGGATAGGATGTTGGATTAGTAGGCGATTTTTAAATTATTTATATGTAACAACTATTGCAGTGATGAACGTAAATCTGTATAAGATTTGTACTCAGAAATCAACCAGGAGCCGAGGTGGTACCGCTAATGGATATAAAAAACAGCGCTTAAACCTCCGTCGAACGTTGTTGCGATGGTGTGGGCGATGCCGCGTATGGTGGCGATGGTAAACCATTATCTTGTGTCAACGGCGCCACATTCGGCGCCTGACGCAGTGGCACTGAGGTAGCACCAGCCGGTATATTCGATGGGGGACGTGTGAAGAACTGTGTATTGTTGGGCAACACTGGCACACCACCAAAACGATTTTGTATCGCTGCGTTGGGTTGATAATTCATGGAACTATTACGGCTATCGGCAGCACTAAAAGTCGGACTATATTGTTGATGCAAAGTAGCATTATGCTGTGGCTCTTCGTCCGTCTCGGGCGATGGTGGCTGATTACGATAGGCGGCCGGGTTGGATGCATCGGTCGTGTCGTTAAGTTGTCCCTGCTGGTGTTCGTGCGCTGGCTCATCATCGACGGCGGTGCCCTCCTCATCGGCCTCGGGCAGATCATGATCGGTGCCGGAATTGTTGCGCAACGAACGTCTACCCATTTGACGCGGCTTGTCACCTGTTTTATTAACGTATTCAATATCGCTAGCAACTTTTGTATCTTTATTTTCACTACCTTCGGACGAGGTGACATCCTCATCATCCAGGTCCCATTTCTTAGCTGGAAAGTCAATACGGGGTTTGCCCGGTAGTGGTTCATTCGTACGATAAACTTTATCATATGACCTACTTTTCTTAAGAGTGCCCGTTGCATCCGTATCGCTATCGTCGTCCGGTCCGCTCAGCTGACGCAAATTGGAGCGTGAAGATGCGCGGCTACGTGGTATGGTCATCTGCCAGGCGGGATCCTCTTTCAACTGCTTCTGGCGGAAACGATAAATGCCGCAGACAATGCAAATCATCAATGGGCATATGACGAGTACGATAATAGCGATCGCGATGAAGGCGATACGACGGGTATAGAAGACTTCACCTGTGGAGAGAAAAAAATTCATTATATTCAAGAAGAGGGAGGGGGATAGGGATGCAAAAGGGTGGGATATTGGTGGAAAGATTTTGAATAAAAGCAAAATATAAAAGTCTGAAAAAAAAATGATAACAACACTTACGCAAACAATACGTATAGCCATACTCTGGTACGTTCCATAAGCCATTGGCCAAACACTCGCGACGCTGATCGCCCATTAAGACAAAACCCTCATCACACTCAAACGCAATCTTAGCGCCCGGCATGAAATCGAAACTCAGTTTGCGACCAAAGCGTGGAGTCTCCAGCACGCCACAAGAAACTGTGCGTCTGAAATGATAGGCGTAAGATAGATCAAATATAAACGAGTACATTTGTTAATCTAAAGAAAAATGTACATAACCTCATTTCATGCCAACTCACTTTGAATTCAAATTTCTGATATTGACCAAACTGTCGTAGTAATTTTTCGTAAAATGCGCCATATCTGCATTTAGTGTCATGCCATAATCATAGCGACACTGATAACTCTCCCCACACAACTCCTCAGCGCGCTCCACATCATACGAACGGTTCGATGGCAAGAAGTCTTGCGGCTCTTTAAGAAAGTTCGGCACAAATGAAGCGTTGGAGTAGTAACTCGCGGTACGTCCATTGTCTCGCGAGAATAAAGCCGTGCCAACATTCGGTATATTGCGATCGGCCAACATCCATTTCAAGCCGAAGTTGTAATAGATTTGTCGGAAATCATTCATATTCACATTGGCCACAGTGCCATCGGGTAAAACGAGATCATCTAGCGCATTAAAGGACCAATTGCCAAAGAGACCAGCAGTTTTATTCTGAAAAATATTTCATATAAGAGTTAGGAAGAAAGGTATTTTCATATGCCCCTAGCCAGTCAATGCTTACTATGAAATCCCACGGCAGATACACTCGTCCCGTCATGTAACCCTCATTCTCCACCACCTCCACGCCTACACCTCCATCAAACATGACCACCACTTGTGACTGATTCAACAAGTAGGTGGGCGTATAGACAGTAACGCCGTCGAAATGTTGGAACCTCATGCTTTCACGATCGAAGTAGATGCGTCGTCCGTCGGCCAACACGTCCAGGGCATAACGCCAACGTGCGAATTTCGGACGCAAACGTACCTCGATTGTAGTGGTCGTATTGCCACGCATTGCCAACGCAGTCAACTGTGTAGCCATAACAGCGCCATATTGATTTTTGGGTACCTGCTCGAAACGACCTTGTACCTCAAAGCGACGATCGGCGGAAACACTACGTGACAACACAAACTCACCCAAGCCGTTGAAAGTGTATGGTGTGCCATCGAAGGTAATAAAATGTGGATCACCGAAGACGCCAGCTACACCGGGCGCTTGATAACCAACGCAATCCTGTGAGGGACGACGCTCAAAGCGGAATGTTTCACAGTTTACCGATTGTTCCCTCTGCCAGTGACAACAGGAATACCAAGGACGCATATCGTGAAACCAGTTAGATAGTGTCGGTACTTTCCCTGCTTCGTTCCAAGGCATTTTACCAAGATTATGGTTACGACGTGGTCGCGAACCCCAAACTTGATCTTGTGTCAGCATCAGAACGCCATAACGATCGTAACAACATTGCTGCTCGGCGCCCTCCGCTCTATAGTGGAAAGGAATATTAAAAAATATCTTGCATATTTTCATACAAGAAAGCGGTTACTTACACTGGGTTGCCACTGACGACACAATGAATGGCATTCTTATGGCGCAAACATGTCGGATTTGAATCTTTATCGCATTCCTTGTCCGGTCGGTAGCGTCCTTTGTCGTAAACGGCTTGCTCAAGTGTGCAGGGGCAAAGCGGCAGATCACCGGTGAAGGTTCTGTAATCGTAGAAAGGTTGTAAGAGGTTTCCAAACTTAAAAAACTATGTCACTGGTATTTTATTTTATTTTGTAAAACAAAAGTAATAAAAAAAGTTCTTAATATTTATTTTTCCTACAATTTTTCCAACTATTTTCTTCTGCAGGCAATTTTTCGCAAATCACTATTATTCCACCTTTTACATCTCTCTCTTTACTCTCAAACGTTTTTGCCGTCACTGCATTTTAATTAACAATCTCACTCATTACAAGCATTTTTTCCCTTGTGACAATCAACAAAAACTCAAAAGGAAATACAAAAATAATAACAATTTCTACTTTGTTTTTGCTCACCTCAAATAACGGTCATTTCGTATCCAATTCTCGCAAAGTGCCTCAGGCCAACGCAGGCCGTGTTTACGTTCCCATTGTTTATTGAAATACCAGCCCAATGGTATGGGGCGCGACCAGAGTGTGCTGAAATGAAGAAAATTTATGTTAATAACTCTGTGCAATGTAGGAAATGCAAAAAAGTATAAAGTGTAGTAAAAGCGTAAATAATTCAACAAAGAAAGCAAGAAAACCGAGTTGAATTGAGGACGATCAGTGCGGGAAATGTTACGAAATAATATATATATTTTAGAATCGGAATTCTCTTATTATAAAGGTCACACCATAAATAGGACTGCAAATACTGGATGAGTGCATAAGTTCGTGCCCGATTTCAAGTGCATACTAAAATTGAAATTTTTTGAAGAAAGCGCTTTTATTAATCAATTATGTATTCGCCATCATGTTCGACAATCTACTTTCAACGTTCAAGCAATTTATGGATGCCTGATTCATAGAAATCGCGCAGTTTCACGTTAAAAAAGGTGTCAAGGTGGTTTTTGACGTCTTCCACATTTTTAAATTTTTTTCCATTCAAATTGTTTTGCAGCGATCGAAACAAATGATAATCAGAAGGTGCAATGTCGGGTGAATATGGGGGATGCGGTATGATTTCCCAATTCATCTCCTTCAGTTTGGCCTGGGTCGGTTTTGCAACATGTGGCCTGGCGTTCTCATGATGGAAAAGAACTTCTTTGCGATTGGCCAAAATCGGACTTTTTCATCAATTGCTTTTTTCAATGCGACCAATTGCTGACAATACCTGTTCGCAGTGATCGTTTCTCCAGCTGGCAAGAGCTCAAAATAGATCACGCCTCGGATATCCCACCAAATGCACAGCAGTACCTTCATCGGATGCAATCCACCTTTCAACATCGGTTCCGCCCCTTCGTGTGCCTGTTTCCATGTTCTTTTGAGTTGAACATTGTTGTACAGGATCCATTTTTCATCACCAGTCACGAGCCGATCCAAAAAAGGTTCGTTTTTGATCCGTCGAAGAAAAGAAATTGCTGTTGACATACGGTCCACTTTGTTTTTTTCACTCAACTGATGTGGCACCCATGTATCGAGCTTCAAAGTGTACCCAACCTTTTTTAAACGACGAAACGCAGTTGATTTGTTGACGTTCAATTCACTGGCAACCTCTTCCGTCGAAATACGTGAGTTATTCGCAACTAAAGTCCTTAGAACATCGTCATCAAGCTCAGAAGGCCGTTTACTGCGAGGTTGATCTTCGAGGTTAAAATCTCCAGAACTAAATTTCGCGAACCGTTTCTTTACTGTGCGGAGGGCTGGAGCACGGTCCAAATAAACTTCGCGAATATCTTTAGTTGCAGCGCCTACTGTTTTTCCTTTGTGGAATTCGTATAACATAATATGACGCAAATGATCTTTTTCGTTGTCCATCTTCATGCGTCTTTTCACTAAGCAACTCAAATCAAAATGAAGTTATTTTATGCTTGATTTACAGTTCCAAGGATATATAATATGTATATATTTCTTTCACGAGCGCCACTCTCAAACGATTCGAACGGCATCCAGCGGAATCGGGCACGAACTTATCATCCAATAATACCATCGACATCGCCCTAATACCAAAGGAATTCTCTATACGCCGAACATATGTTTTCTTCTCAAATCTCGTACGAGATAAGGTGCGAGAACAACAGCCGCTAGATTAAAATAAGAAAAAAGCAAACCGTTAAAGCTTCAGATATTTCTACTTTTGAAGCGTAAGCGGCAGTTGGAGATACCAAATGAAGCCACCAGAACCTTTGAACGAAATGACGATTTTCCTCTCTCTATCTCTCTCTCTCGCTCGTTGCTTTCACTAGCGAATAATTTCGTTTATCCGAACAACTTCACCTCGTCAATGATGAGCAACTTGTAAATATTTGTTACATGTGCGTCCGGAGTGACGAGGCGTGATAACAAGGCTAACACTTATTGATATTAATGCTGATTCCTACGTAGAGGAAAGCGTCAACAAATTCTAGTTAATAAATACAACAAGTATCTTAACCCTAACCCCTTAAACCATTCTACAATAAGTATTTAATATATATTAATTCAAAAGAAGGGAGAACAATCATGAAACGTGACAAATTAGATGAGCTTTTGTGGACACGGTCTAGACTTTATTTACTCATACGCCGCACAAGTTGAGTCACGGGTTTGATTTATTGGTCAATATTATAAAAAAAAATGTATTTAATTTTGCAAACAGTGGTCCCCCCTCGGCAGGGAATTTCAAGTGTTTGAAGGATATTTCTGATATGAAATAAAAGCCCTGATGAAAATTCATCAGCCGTTAGGAGACGGCTTGGTGTATACTAAAGGTTTCTTACAATTGTTGGAAAAACATCAAAGCGGGCTCCAAAAATCGAAGGAGAAGCTCAACTAAAAATTGCTACTGCGATGTTAAAGCTTCTTGTAACTATTAAAACAGGGTAAATAGGCAATGGCAACAGCCGAATGGCTAGCAGTGCGTACTGACATTCAAAGAGCTATGGTTCAAGTCTTGGTCTGAGTAACATACAAAATTATAGATTTTTCAGATTGCGGTCGCTCATCGACAGGAAATGTCAAGTCTCCGTGGGTATTTCTGACATGAAATAAAAATACACTTAAAAATTCAGTAGCCATTCGGAGACGGATTACAGGTTTCTTTCAATTGTTGGAAGGACATCAAGACGTTGTGTTATGAGATATGCAGTTATTCCCAAGATTGTTTAGTTTACCGGAAAGGCTAGATTTGAAGATTTCGCGAAATTTATGTATTACAACGAATCAATGTACCGACAATATCCCACTTCTGAAACGTTAGATTATGCTTATTCTTGTAACTATTACCGCCGGATGATTAGTCAGTCGCAATAGCCAAGTAATTAGCAAGGTGTATTGCCGTTCGAAAGGCCAGGGTCCTGCTCCGACCAACATCCAAATTTATAGACCATTTTTATCGGAATGCCCTCAGCTTGGGATCGCAAGCCCTCCGAGTGTGTTTCTGATATGAAATAAAAAAGTTCTTCATAAAAAACCATCATCCTTTCGGAGGCGGCTTATAATAAACTTTGGATCCCTTAATTTGCTTTAAACAACATCGAAACGTATCCCAAAACTCGGAGGAGGAGCTCGGCCGAAAGTGATTTCGCGAAATTTAAAAAGGGTCAAGCTTAACCTTCTGGAAAGTTAATACACAAAGACCATAAAACCTAGTCAAAATTTGGCAAAAATCCATTTTTAATCTGCTTAAATGAGTTGATAAATAAGGAGAAGAGTCTACGTTTAACCACCTGCGCTCCACTCTTCAAAGAGTCATGTGAGAAACGTTCATTCATTTCATGCTAAAAAGTTTGCTTTCAATGTTTTTCTTTAATTTCATACAAAAACTATTATTTGTATTCTATTAGTTAGAAACATTATTCCATTACTGAATAATAAAAGTTTTCTTTGAAAAATGAAATTATTTGAAAATGCCTCCGGCAGATGCATAGAAAAGTCACTTGGTGTAACACATAAATTCGGTGAATTTAGTGTGGGGAGAGAGGTGGAGAGAGAGAGAGATCTCCCTTCTACACGTTATGCACACATGTATACTATGTATTTGTATATGTGTATGTAAGCTCATGAGCAAAATAATAGTAGTATTTATTTTTCATACGATATCTCGGGATTTTGAATTTGATGAATTAAAATTATTTTTTCTGTATTGAAAATATTTTACTTCTCTTTAAAAAATGCCTTCAAACATGAAAAAAAATGTACTCGAAGAAAATATTCTGCTTATGAATATTAATCGGTTTTCAATACTTAGTGCTTACTTAACTAAAGTGGTTGCTAAAATCTACGTCGGCAAAACAATCGGTTACATTATACTCAGACAGTCAAGAAGCCATCAGATCTCTACAATGTAACGAGTACCACATCAATAGTGGCTATGAAATGTGGGAACAATCTTAACAAACTCTCAACTAAATGTAGCACTGCCGTTGTCGGGGCACCTGGACACAGCAGCATCGTAGACAATTGCATGGTAGACGAACTAACGAGGGTAGGAACCCTACTACCCATGATAAAACATGCACGCGATGCTGGTTTACCGCTGTCCACTGCAAAGTAAATGTTTAAAAAAAGTTCTTTGCCAAGGAAGCAGACTCAAAATATCTGGACGAGATTCTAATGATTTTTGCTGCAGCTGTAGGGACGAATAAGAGGAGGAGACCATCGGCCACTATCTCTGCCACTGTCCAGCTTTGACATATGTGCGACACATGTTCCTCGGAAAACAAATTGTTTGACTGTCTCGCTGAGATAGCCTCAGCGAAAAAAATCTCCTTGCTTTTATGAAACACACGAAATAGCCCGATCATTTGAGAAGGCCTCAGCGGTGTCACAGTGGACGTATAAACGCTGGAAGTGACCAGCAGCCGAATCAACTCAATTCAAAACAATAGAACAAGTTCACTCTTTCAAAAGCGAGTATTATAAAATTCAAATACAAATTAGGTTTGAATTACCACGTCCATGAGTTGAGCGGCATTCGTACGAAATAAAATTACGTGACACCTCAGTCAAAGAACAGTCGAAGACATCTGAAAGCATCATCATCATTCTTAAGTTCCACTAGGGTTTGAATCATTATTTTTAGTCGCATTTATTATGGAGCTTTCAAAATTTATTAAAAATAATTTCATGTAAAGAAAAAAGTTCAATACAAAACTTTTCTTTGATATTTCAGTTAAATGTTAACAAGAATTATCGAAAAAACTCATAAAAAATGACCACGAATATAATTACTATATGCATGTTCCTATAAGAAGCTCTACACTTGGCGGCAGCAATTTCTCTTAGGCTTTTTTCTTTGTATTTTTTAACAGGTAAACCTACTAATATTCGTAGAAGAGACTGTTCAGTGAGATTTTTTCTACTTCTGGTGGTCCCACAGCATCAGTTTAACTCACAGCTGATTTGAAGTCGATTTTAATTGCTTGTAGCTACGCAGCATATCCTTTGCCAACTTATGGCGCCACGTCATTAATTATTTCAAAGAAATAGACTCAATTGAATTTGTTTTCATTCGCTCAGGCACTAATTGATTTTACTATAATATTTTTTTTGTATTCGCCAAGGTTTTCATGAAATTGAATCCGTTGTCGACTGTTATAATTCCAAAATAAGCGACATATGGTACGTTCACGGATGTCGTGATTCGAATAAGCTAAAAGCTTTCTCACTGATTGAGTTTAAGAAGGCGTAAGTACCAGAAGGCGAACAGATATGAACATGAGCTGAGTTGACTTAGCCATATCCATCTGTTCGTCAGATGAGTTTGTACATTCAAACGAACATTTGTCGGAACCGGCCAGATCCTACCAGGACAGAAAATATGCGACCGATTTTTCGGATTTAATTTGGGTTATACATTTATAAAAAAAAAAACATCTAAAAGCATGAAATTTAGCACTCTCTACATATTGATATAGAAATGATCGAAATCGCACAACTACGGCTACCATACACCCGCTTCTTCAGATGTGAGGCTTTGAGCATAACTCGGTAACAAACTCATCCAGGAGTACGAAATTCGGTATATGAAGTTTCGAGTCAAAATAGCATCTAAAAGTGTGAGATTTAGTATTTTCCTGACGTCCAAGTTAATATTGGCTCAGAAAACCATCGAAATCGGAAAACTTATGTATTGAAGTGATCCCCCCTCCTCCAACCAAGCTTTCAGATTGAGAATTAATATTAAATCCTAAAATGAAATACTTTTGATATGGTCCATTATACGTATAAAGATTTCAGAATCGCCGAAAATTACCATTTTTTTGTTTGGGAGCTATAGCTACTAGGCTTTAAGCTCAATATTTATTTGAATATTTACATTTTAAGTTTAGATTCCCCTTGTTTAAATCTTATGAAAAATATTCGTTCCTTTGAGAAAGTTATTTATTAAAAAGATTAAATCGACTGTGGGAACTGAGAGGTAGGAAGTTGGATTTTTGTTAGTAAAAAATTCGTTCTCTGTGGGGGCATATAGTGGGCAGTTAAGTGGCAGTAAAAATTATTTAAAATGTTATGTGTTTGAAAATGTCATTTAAAAACCAAATACACGCATTATTTTATCCATGGGTGTACATATTTACATACATATACAGGGTGCTCCATCTTTTATGCCGGTATGTAAACGCTGAATAACTTTCACATTTACCAACCGAGCGATTCCATGAGATATGTTTTAGAAACGTCAAATCAGTATAATTTTTGCCTTGGATCGCTTCAAATCGAAACTATGCGCTGAAATAGTGTCAGTTCACATCGAAAACAGTTGATCGATTGTGTTAACTCAAGGTGCATATCGGAAACACGGCAAAAAGGCACCATCTGACAGATCACCTGTTTGAGCCCCCCGGGCTTCCTTTTTGTGGGATTATCGGAAAAGCAAGGTTTGCGCCAACCAGCATCAAACTATTGATGAAGCTCAAGGCAAACATTCGTGCTGAAATCGACGCTATGACAGCCGAATTACTCGTAAAGTTAATCGCTAACGCAGAAAATCGGAGTAATTTTGAAATCGCTAATAACGGTAGCTACTTGATTGAAATTTTTTTCAAAAACTAGTCCAAAAAAGTTGGAAGGAACTAAATTAAATAAAAATACATCTCTTATAAAAATCAGTTATTTTTTCTCAAAATTATATTCAATGTTTACATACCGACAGAAAAGATGGAACACCCTGTATGTATAAGAAAAACTCAACAGAATATTTCCATTTTGTCCATATTTTCATTCAATTTGTCACTACAACAATTCACTATATTGTTTCCATATGCCTCTTGTCATTTATCGCCACTCACTTGGTTTTTATACATGCATACATATGTACATCATTACATGTGTACGTATATTCAAATATATATATATATTTTTTTGTTTTTTCTTCTGCATTTGAATGTCATCAATATGCAATAATTCAATTGATTTCAATTGCAAAATCAATTGTCTGTATAAAATACAAGGTAAATTTACTTTCAGTTAGGTTAAGTGAGAGTGAGTGGCTGTGTGCGTGTGTGAGGGTCTATGAGCACTAGTATAAATGTGTGGTGAATGGATGGTGAGTACATTGGCGAATGCCATTCTCTATAGTCAGCAAATTGACCAAGTATTACTATTAAAACAATGCTTTTAATGAAAGTACACTTTCAATGCAACAACAAACACGGAGCACTGGATCAATAGTGTATTTCTAATGTAATTATAACACTTTTATATACATACTATGTATTTATGCATCTGTAGGTGCCTACATGCCTGCTATGCGATTCAATCGAGTGTAGAAAAGGTCACAATTTGTTATTACATTTAGTGGCATTAAATACTTTAAACTTTATTGAATTTTCATTTAACAATGAAAATGAGACACCAGAATGACATTGGCATGAATACATATGTTTATAAATATGTGCATATACTTTGAATGATGTTATTTTAATTATTATATTACTTTGCCAAAGCGATTTGTGAGATATTTGTAAAATTTGATATACGAACTCTCCCTCTCTCTTCTTCTTTCTCTCTCTAAGTGATTTGCATTAAATTGCGTATTGAGTTCATGGCACATTGGAGTTTACAAAAGAAGTCGTTATTTATGAAAATTAGTAATTTACTGCTTCAATTAAGTAAAGGTACTTTCACTTCTTGCTGATTAAGACAGATGCAATGGAGTTGAAATGAGTCTCATCAAGTGGCTCGAGGTTCGGGTGGTTTCCCTGCACCATGCGCTGCACATGCAAACTGAAGATACGACTGCAGCTCTGCAGCTGACAGTTTAGCCGCTGCGTGCCTTGCTTGATACCAATGTTCATGGGTATTGAAAATTTTTTCAAAAATTCACCCAGCATATTGAATCCATAATTATTAATTTGGAAAGTATTTTTCCATATCCTCCATCATCTTCAACCCCAAAAATCATTCACTGTTGAGTTTCAAGTGAATCATGTTAGCGACCTCACAAACCCCCGAGTAGCATGGTTCAAGGGATTTTAATAAAATATATAATTAAAACTTTGCCGCCAATTTGAATTTTTATGCAAAGGGATTTTCGATTTGTATCCATCAATTCCAAGAACCCCGGCTCAGCGATTTTCTAGTAATTCCAAAGCTTTTTGATTGAGAAAAGCATGCATTTTTCTTAATAGACCAAAAATAAATAAAACATTTTGAAAATGGAAGCAAACTTTGAAAAACGCCATTGAATTCGGCGCCCTCGCATTAGGCGAATCTGATACTCCCTTTATCAGACAAAAAGTTCCAAATTCGAGTGTGTAATTTTGATAATTACGGTCGCCCCTACGAGTGTATTTCTGACTTGAAATAGAAGTTCCTCACGAAAATCCATCAGCTGTTCAGAGAAGGTTTAGAATAAACGGTATGACTCACCATTTATAGGAGAACCATGTAAACGCGCACGAACTCGGTCGAAAATCTGAAAATATAGATGTGTGCCAAGCACAAGAAGCGCTCGCAGAACCTCTGCGAGTCACGTTAGCTTCTGACTAGTAATTACAAATGGTTCCATTACGGTAACCCCCAACGCAAAAAGTAATATGAGTAGCCTGGAAAACCAGCATAATCAACGGCAAAGGCGAATATCCATGGAGCCTAGGAGACAAGATGAGCGTGCTGTATCTAAACCTGAATGAAACCAATAATAGGGAACGCTATCAACAACAAATTTAAGGGTACGATTACTGGAAAATCCTTGAGATTCGCGACAACACCGTTTAAATTATTTGAACTATTATTTGAAAAACAGCTTCTGGAAAGATTTGCGTAAGCTGGACTTATAACGCAGACCTTACCCCTTCTGACAGCCATTTATTCCGGTCGATATCACATGGGAGTACGTGAAAGTTTTACTATTTACGTGGATGCAAACAAAGGACTATGGAGGAACCATACTCCCTACCAAAGAAGCAGCAGATGCGCTGTGGAGGTAGACTAAAGCTTTACCGAAGCGAAGAATAAATATTGTTGGGTGAAGGCAAACTTGAAAAACGTCATTAAAACATTTTTTTTTTTTGAAAACCCCTAAAGTATAATACTTCAGCCTGTAAGGGCTTAAGGGTTACTGAACTTTAGAAAAGCATCAAATTAGTCACGCGCCATGTTGTGAGAACTGTTGAGCTGTACACGGACGCCATTCCAAAGGTGTCGGGATATTCCAGTCAAGCATTGACCGAGGGTATTAGTGCCTGCCACACTTTCTCAACCGGGGATTGTCCCTAAAAAGTTTAAAAAACTGTGAATGCAAGCCTAGATATTTGATAGCAGCAGACACGGCTGAAACACCTCAATTCCTAATTGCTGTAAGATAAGAATACAAAACCACTTGGAGATCTATCAAGCTTCACAAATTTTAAAGAGCCGCAATATCCAACGCAACATATCGAATGGAAAACGCAACATCTCCAACTACCGTAGGAAAGGCCACCTCGCGCCATATCCAATTTCTTATACGAAACCTTCACGAGAGCTTCTCCCAACAATTTCCCAAGTTAAAATAACTCCCACAACATCTCCAAATTCTGTGGTGTGCAGTGGTGTGTGCACCGAAGAAGCTCCTAGAAGACCCACGGGGCTCTGTGAATGAATTCGAGTGTAACATTTAAGAACATCTCTCGTTATTATATTTGACATCCTCTTTTTCTAACCACCCAGACTTTGACACCTACTAAGGTGTCAAGAAATAAGAAACATGAGGCAGACCCGGGTCTATTACGGCTCAGAAAAGCCTAAAATATAAATTTATATGTAAAAAAAATGTGTTATTACTCACGGACTAATCTTCAAACCCGAATACTGCTCTGGATTGGTAAGATTGATTTGCAAGAAGCCAAATTGTAGATCATTATTGTAGTTGTTACGATTTATATAGTTGTTGGGATAAATCACATAAGAGCCGGTATTAGTTAAACCCGCTTCAATAGTGTCAATGTACTCCAATTGTGGACTGTAAATGGATTTTGTTTTAGCTAAAAGTTTTCCGATGGATATTTAGTCGCACACTTACTAAATGGTCACTTCACGATAACCCCAAAGGGAAATCATTATATTAGCATTGCCGTTCGAAGTCAAATTGTAAGGATCCCAATTGATTTGTATCTGCTCCGGTGCCTTCTTGTGCACATCTTCGGTTTCGAAGAAAATTTTCTCTGTGGCTAAAGCAGGTGTTTCTGCGGGAGATATATCAATAAATATATATTTAGTTAAAGATGTGGCGGCTTAAGTTTCTATAGCGCCACTTACCCACAAAATATCTGCCACGCCATTTGAAACGCTGATTGCCAACCGATATCTCAAAACGCACCCAACCCTCGGCTTTCAAGAACGGCTGCACACATATAACACGATTCTTATTCACAAAAGTACCCAGCACATCCTCCGTATCGAAATGGCATGTAACACGTTTCTTCGGATCAAAACAGGGACCGGTGATATTGACCACAGTGCCGCCCAGCATATTACCAGCTTCCGGCGCGAATGACAAGGGCAAATGTGATGCATCTAAAATTGACAGCAAATAATTAATAAAACATACAAACACACGTATGTAGTACATAAATGATAATATTATGACATGAAAATTAGCTTTATCAAACCGTACAATATTAGGCAGTAGCCAAACAGAACTGGCTCATAATTGATATATTTATTTGTGTGTATATGCAATAGAACGGTACATATATATGTGCATATGTAATTATATGAATACTAACCGATATCCTTATTACAGGAGCCAATTAAAATTTGCTCGTCAATGCGAAATAGATGTCGGCCTGGGAATCCATTGCCCCAACCGCGACCCGTCAAATCGCGTATCACCATCTGTTGACTGTAAGGGGTGTATTCGTAAGAGCGTGTACCGTTACCTGCGTTGAAGCCGACCTGAAGCATAGAGAAAGAGTGGAGTGAAGTGGAATTTTATATTATACTCGTATGTATCATATAGTAGGGCCTTCTGCTGCCTCAATTTTTTTTTGCAAAATTTAAGTTTATTTTATACAAAATTATTTGTGTCTGAGCACACCGATATTCAGTTTTTATTTTCTGCTTTAAAAAATTAATTAAATTCTCAAATTTCGTTGGTTACCTTCATTCGAATATCGACTCATTACCAACATAATAGTTCCGTTCGCACGACCGAACACGCGCTGCGTCTAATAAACGGTCGACATAATTGTACAGCGGCGTGGTTATTCGAGGAAACCGAGCTATGGTGATTTCGCAACACATTTACGTTGACGCATAACGCGCATCTTCAGAGAGATGATTTCTTAAATTGAAAGCGTACAAAATACAGCTTGAACAACACGATCTTCCCAAGCGACAGCGCTTCGCTCTATGGGCTTTTGAAAAGTTCGCAGAAGATCCGACGTTTCTAAGCCAAATTTTGTTCAGCGATGAGGCCAATTTTTTGGCTCAATGGGTAAGCAAAACTGTCACGAAGCAGTAAACTGAAGAGACTCAAGTGCTGCCATTTCATTCAGTAAAAACAACGGTTTGGTGTTGTTTGTGGGCCGCTGGTACAAATCTGTCTACATTTCTTCAAAACTGATGCCGGTGAGAACGTAACCGTCAGTGGCGACTGTTTTCACATCATAATAACTGACTATTTGATGCCTGAAACTGAAGTTCGTGATTTCGGGGACATTTGGTTTGAACAAGACGTCGCCACTTTCCACACAGCCACGCATTGTTCGATGAATTTATTGAGATAACACTTCGGTAAGCAGATAATTTCACGTTTTGAGCCGGTCGATTTGCGACTAAGATCGTGTGAAATTACACCGTTAGACTTTTTTCTGTGGGTATATGTAAGGCCTAAAGTCTATGCGGACAATCCCGGTTCGATTCAGGCCCCTTAAAGCAAAACAGCACGTGTCTTGCTCGCCAGTTATCAGTCGAAACGCTCGAACGAGTCATCGAAAACTGGACTCAACGTATGGACTATCTGAAACGTAGCCGCAGTAGCATTTGAAAGAAATAATCTTTAAAAAATAAATACCAAAGACTTTTCTTTCGAAAGAAAATTTACATTTCCCTTAAATTTGAATTTTCTGTGTTTTTTTCTCTAAAAGAGTAAGGAGCCTCGAGATGGATTACCTTCTATATTTGTTGGTGTTAAAATTAAATTATGTAAAAGGTTTAACCGTGAGATTTTCTTCAAAGTTTGCCTAATATGCATTAGTATTTGTTTTCGTTACTTTTAAAAATTTTCAAAACGTTATTTACATGACCAGAATTGGAACATTCCGAGCTTGAGAGTGGATTGCCGAACTTCCCATTGATACAAACGTAGAGCTGATCAAGAATACACGGTGTGTCCCAAAAATAACCGAACTTACCGAAACACGAAAACATACGTGTACAGCGCCATCTGTTGAAAATTTGCAACATTAAAAAGATACATTCATCCTCTTTCAAACGCAACTAACATCATGTAAGTCGGATGACAGATGTAAAAGTGACAGCCATTTCAATAAAAACAAAAGTGTGCTAATGGTTCAAAAATAAAATGGAACAAAGTGCATATATAAAATTTTGTGTCAAACTTGAAAAAAAAATTAATGAAAAAAGTTTATTGTGATGATTGTATGAGTCGTACGAAAGTTTATACGTGGTTTACACGATTTAAAAATGGTCGTGAGGATTTCAATGACGACCCTAGAGCAGGACGTCCAGAAACTAGTAATCGTACTGAACTGGTGGAAAAAGTCCGTGAAATCATTGGTATCGATGCAAATTTTACAACGAGAATGTTGGCTGAGGAATTGAATACGAGTAAAAACACTATTTGGAGAATTTTAACTGAAGATTTGGGGAAAGGAAAGGTCTGTGCGCGATTTGTTCCAAATGAATTAAATGACGACCAAAAAATCGCTTGATTTTTTTATGAAAAAAAGGATTTCTCTCATCGACCATACCCCGTATTCGCCTGATCTATCACCCTGTGACTATTTTTTTATTTCCAAAACTAAAAACCAAGATGAAGGGAGCATTTTATGATGATATCCCAGCCATTCAAGCAGCCGTAACCGAGGTACTGAAGAACATTTCTATAAATGACATAAAAAAATCTATGCATGCGCTGGTTGATCGTTCCAAACTTTGTGCTGAGTCAAATGGAACCTTTTTCGAATAAATAATAACTTTCAATGATAATATAATGTGTATTTTATTTTATATCCAAAAAGATCGGTTATTCTTGGGACACACCGTGTAGAACACCCAAATGTGTTTAAATTTCTGAAAAATACTATAATTTCACTTATGTGCACGTATGTACTACCACAAAGCGGGGGAAACATTTGTACTTACATACATAAATACATGTATGTATAACAAATTAGAAATATTACATTTCTTAATTAAATTCACTGGCTAACCACATTTTTACAATGAAATTAATTATCTTGTTCCATTTTTCCGCTATTTATTTATTATGCTTCGTTGCTGTGGGATTTATATGACACTTCGCGTTAAAATTAAACAAAAAAACCTCAACAGACGTGCATACAAAGATAAATGTTTATGTATGTTATTCACAATTAATCCAGCAAAGCATTTGCACCCAAAGTTGCTATATGTAATTGTGTAGAAAAATTATATTTTTTATTTTCCAACTTTTTCTGTTTACTAAATATTTTAATTAATACTTACGTAAGCTGGTACACCACCCTCACCGGTCGTGGTATCGCCGCCTGCCTCGGTATTCGAGGACCATTTTAGTAAATCATAATTGAATATGGCATATGTGTAGACTTCATCCGTGGCTATAACCATTTGGAAAGTGTTTGTCTGCAAAAAAAAATAAATTTGTTTCTTATAGTAAAGCAGCACAAATATTTTTAAAAATATATAGTAAAATATCATAAATTCATTTGTCAAAAATTTAAGTTGCTCCAAACTATAGGGATATCCATTTCCTCGCACCAAAAGTATAGGGCTTAATTGTCAAACGAAACGCGCTTTGTTTTAGTTAAAAACCAGACATTTATCAAATCCTACTACATAAATGATGATTGAAACATTTCGGCGTCTCTTGTTTTGAAAATGCTCAAGTAATTGGTAAAATTTTCTAAAAATGCGTAAAGACTGGATCGGTTGCAAATATTGTGAAGAAGTAGACGCAAGACTTTCTTACGGCACCAATTTACGGATGCCTGATTCGTAGAAATCACGCGGTTTCTCGTTGAAAAAGGTGTCAAGGTGGTTTTTGACGTCTTCCACATTTTATAATTTTTTTTCGAAACAAATGATAATCAGAAGGTGCAATGTCGCGTGAATATGGGGGATGCGGCATGATATCCCAATTCATCTCCTTCAGTTTGGCCAGGGTCGGCTTAGCAACATGTGGCCTGGCGTTGTCATGATGGAAAAGAACTCCTTTGCGATTGGCCAAAATCGGACGTTTTTCATCAATTGCTTTCTTCAATTCGACCAATTGCTGACAATACTTGTTGGCAATGATCGTTTCTCCAGCTGGCAAGAGCTCAAAATAGATCACGCCTTGGATATCCCACCAAATGCACAGCAGTACCTTCAAGGTTCGATTTTGATCCATCAATGCAAAGAAATTGCTGTTGACATACGGTCCACTTTGTTTTTTTCACTCAACTGATGTGGCATCCATGTTCCGAGCTTCAAAGTGTACCCAACCTTTTTTAAACTATGAAACGCAATTGATTTGCTGACGTTCAATTCACTGGCAACCTCTTCCGTCGAAATACGTGAGTTCGCAACTAAAGTCCTTAGAACATCGTCTTCAAGCTCAGAACGCCGTCCACTGCGAGGTTGATCTTCGAGGTTAAAATCTCCAGAACGAAATTTCGCGAACCATTTCTTTACTGTGCGGAGTGCTAGAGCACGGTCCAAATAAACTTCGCGAATATCTTTAGTTGCAGCGCCTACTGTTTTTCCTTTGTGGAATTCGTATAACATAATATGACGCATTGATCTTAACTCAAATCAAAATGAAGTTACTTTATGCTTGTTTTACAGTTTGGACTGTCACCTTTCCAACGATATGTAATATATATATATTTCTTTCACGAGTGCCACTCTCAAACGATTCGAACGGCATCGGAATAGGGCACGAACTTATGCACTCATCCAATAGTTAAATTAATTTTCTATAATATTTTGAAAGTTGACTACTCACAAGACCAACGATTGGTTGTTCTGCGATTTTTCGAGCAAATTTTGCTTCAGGGACAATACTTTTGGGGCTCCGAGAATCCTAAAATAATTGTAGAGAGGTCATTACTCTTAAAAAAAACTAACCATTGTGATTGGGCCTACCCTAAAACGACAACGGCGAAACTGGCACTGTCAGTTTGGAGCATTATAGGGCGTAGTTTACCGCAAATATTCTTTTATCTTCTTTTTTTCGCCAACAGAAAGTCGTTAGTGCTCGTTGCCCACAGTACTGAAAATGGTGGATATGTATGGTCCCCAGAACTCACATAGCCAATGTTAGACCTGAACTCCTAATTAGCCACTGATAACTCTCGTATAAGACCATTAATTCACAACTATTTCGATGTTTCGAGTCTTGAAATTCATCAACACCGAATATATATTTATCGTAAATATTTAGACTTGCTCATTATAAGAATTTACTACTATTGAGAGCCCAATATCCTTCTCATATCCATTGGGGTAATAATTGTACAAAAATGTTAATTTAATTCCTAAGAAGAATTAAAGCTCAGTGTTTACGTCACTGACCCCAAAATATGGGCGTAAATTATTGAAATTCGCGTCCGGCAATCAGCACTACTTCATTCCGCAAATGAGCAAGTTTTAAGGTACCAAACATCGAAAACTAATAGAAATAAATTTATTCAAAAAAAAACACACATAGGTTCCAATCGTCTGGCATGCTTTCGTCAGACAATATGCAGCGAAGAAGCCGATCCATGTAGCTTGCTGGAATAACTCAATCGACAAGATATCAACTCCAGCCGCTTTGTTATTCTTACACACAATCCCTATTTGAACCTCGTTATAGGGTACATATTTACCATCACCATCGAATAGGTGGTTTCAGGCTCACTAGTGGATTGCCTCACTTGGGAGAAATGTTCACTCCATACACTAAGTATGTTCTCGACAACGGTCACCAGATTTCCACTTTGGTTCCTACATGAATATGCTCCGACCTTGAAACTTTCTGTAAGTTGTCGTATCATGTTGGTGAATTTCCGGATATTATCCTTGTCGGTCAATTTGTTAAGCTCTTCAAGCATTTCAACCTCTGTGCTTCGCTCTTCAACTCTCAGTAACTCAATACACTACTCGCGCGCTTCCTCTCGATTGCAGTTCGAAACCAATTGTTTCAGTTGCGTTGGTAATGTGTAGGCAGTTTAAAATACTGTTTTGAAGTTCCAATTGCCACTTTCAGCGATATGTTGAAAAATTTCGCTTTAATGCAGAATCTGGCTAGACATTAATCCACCAGAGTGGATGCTAGGACTCGGTGACGAAGTCTCACTTGTACCACGAAACTGAAACCAAAGGTCGTTGTTGCCAGATTTCACTAATATTTAAGTATCGAATTTTAACAAGCACCGGAATGTTAGTTCCCCCTCATATTTATTTCATTTAATGTACTTAGCAATTATGGCTTAAATTCCACATTTCGTTACAGAATTATTATGATCTTTGTACCTTTTAAAATAACTCCTATATATCGGAGGTGCGTGTGAGCTGGATGGCATGTGACGTATTTTTTGAAATAACATCCATACTCGTGATCCAAGGAATGTACGAACCAGAATCCGTCAGAATATCGCAATCTTTACATATATAGACGAATGGACGGAGCGGTTCGTATCATCATTCCATCCATGCAGTATGATTTATATGTGTTTTTATGTAAATATCTCGCTTATCAAAGGCATAGCAAAACAAGTTGATCTCAAAACAAAATTTTAATTTATTTATTTGAGATTTGAAATTAATGAATTCCATAAATATATAAGCAGGCGTTTTAACTCCTTTGCATCTAGTTGTTGATTTTTTTTTTTTTTTTGATATTTTTCCAAAACATTTTAAAAAGAAAATGAAATAATCACATAATTGCTTTTCTTGCTTTAATTGGTATTATTGTTAATTACTTTTATTTGTTCACACTTTGAAATTTATGTTACTAATTGTCAGCAGCCTCAGGCAACAATTGTCTTTAAATAAATTTTATCCCAAATCGAATAATAGATTTATGAGAAGCAATAAATATTTTTGAGATGACAAAGTGGCAAGTACTATGTGTGGTCGAGATACATTTATATTCAATTTATGAAATGTTTATGAAGGGTGTTTTTTCTGGACATGGGAATTTCAAGAACAAATGTAATTTAATATCGTAGCCAAGAATTTGGTTTTATTATAAAGATTAGGGTCAAAGTGATTTCGTGCAATTGACCACCGCGGCTGGTTCGAGCCCGAATTATCCACCACGTTTTACACCAGTTGGGAGCGTAAGCCCATAAGAATGCGTCGAATATTCTCTTCTAAGGCGTCAATCGTTATGCGCTTATTTGCATAGACCAGCGACTTCACATAACCTCCACAAAAACTAGTCCAGCGGGGCGGAATCACATCACCTTGGAGGCCACACAACATGTCCACGGCATGAGATAATGCGCTTACCAAAAGTTTCCTTCAATAAGTTGATTGTTTCGATGACCATATGGCAAGTAACGCAGTCTTATTGGAACCAAATATCATCCACATCAATATCCTTCAGAGTTCCTTTTTACCTGTTACATTGCGGACGGCTTCATTTTTGAAGAAATACGGACCAATGGCTCTCTATGCCCAAAGAGCACAACAAACTGTGAACTTTTGGGTATGCAAAGGCGTCTCAACAATGACTTGTGCATTATCACCACTTCAACTTCGACATTGCTTATTAACGTACTTATTCAGCTAAAAGTGAAATTCATCGCTTTACAAATAATCGACGAGCGAGTGAGAGACTGTGAAGCTCAGTTTCAATTTTTACACGCGCTGGACTTTTTAAGACCGCAAACCAAGCTCTTTTCACAAATTTTTTCACTTGTTGACCACTGAATAAAATTCTTTTTTTTTTTTTTTTTTTTTTTGAAAATTGTTATCGAGACCTCCTCATTTGGGGCTCATTTAAAAAAGCGATCCACTTGATTGCTAATCGTTCGGCTTCAAATCTGAACTCCCTAGGGTCTTCTTCATTTCTCTGCTTCACAGCAGCATCGTCAGCATCGTGAGCACTGTGCACACAAGATAGATCAAACTATCGGCTTTGCTGGGCGATAATGTCGACCGAAATAATAAATCTGCACGATTTGCACACGTTGCTCCGGAGTAACTCTGTTAATTATAAAATATCAAGCCAAAGTGAGTATAAATCATGTAACAGCTGTCAAAAAGGTCAACTCCGAAAAAAGCCTCATTGAAAACCATACCTCTAAAAAAGCACCCTTAATAAAACCATTTTTGATTATATAGAAACTGTAGAAATTTAGCTAAGAAATTATTTGTATTTGAATATTAATTATATGCATACACATATACATACACATATATGTAGGTATGTATAGTTGTAAAGGCTTGTCGTTTCTGATTACCTTGCTTTTAAATAGATACATTTGTATATGTATAAAAATTTTCCTTCACTTTCAAGTTCAAAACAACGACATACATACATACATAGGTGTGCATGCGCTTTGATAAATTTCCATTTTAATGTGTGTATGTGTGTGTGTATTTATATAGTATCTATGTATGCATTTAGCTGTTTGTATCACTCTCTTTTCATCAATGATTGACAGCCAGCTTTACAGCAAGTGACAGTGGTTGTGACTGCTTGAGAGAGTACTTTGTGACATGTCAGACAACACACACACACAAGGCACATCAAGCAGCAACACACTCATATATCATCACACAGACACAACGTTTGGTTCTCTAAAATATTTACAAACAGAACCAGCTGTGTGTCAAACAAAATTCTTAACTTAAAAAACATAAATCTATCAAAGTCCAAAAGTTGAAAAAATGTTCAAAATACATACACATAATCTATGTACTATATGAAATACATACTGTGTATTGGTAAGGATGTGTATTGGTAAGGATGCACAAATTACATATCGCCTACTGAGAGAGTTACTCTTCCCATGGTAAAAATTGATTAAATTACCTAAAGGTCTGAGATGGTGCCAATTATTTTCCTCCCACTCACCATCTCAAAAGCTCTTAAAAAATTTTTCTTATAAGTAGCAATTGCATGCTACTTTGAGCTAGGTAGGCAATTGAAAGTCGCACATTATTCCTTCCCGCTATATGAGTCGTCACAAGAGTTTTCGAGATAAATGTTTTGCGCAAAATTTATTGTCCTCTGAGTGCAGGTGATGACGAATACCTTGGACGGTAGAACGATAAGCTCCATGAAACACAGGCGATATTGATATCTATATTAAAAATATTTATAAATGACAACCGCTGAAGCATTTTTTGACCAAGCTCCCACTTTAATTTGTGTCGTGCGTCTTGATGTTTTTTCAACAATTGAAGGATTCTACAGTTTATACCAAGCCGCCTACGAACGACCGATGAATTTTTATGAAAAGCTTTTATTTCATGTCAGAACTACACTCGGATGGCTTGACATTCCCTGCCAAAGAACGACCGCAGTTGGGAAACTTAATTTTTCTGATGTTAGTCAAACCAGCACTCGAACTGTGGCCTTCCGAATGGTACTTCGCACTACTAACCACCCGTCTAATGTGGCCGCCAATTGTGAAACTGACGCTATTTAAGAGGAAGTAGAAGTTATTGGGTGGTGATAACTTTTCAGCGCACAAACGAGAGCTGCCCCTAGACTAAAAATAATTTTCTATATTTTCCGTCCTGGACGTTTTTTGATGGTTAGTGATAGGGCTGCCGAGGAATAACCTAAATTCTACAGTTATAAAATAAAAAGCGTTATAAGCCGCAACAATTCGTTACCTCTCCGTTCCTGTTGCGTCCTTATAAGATTAAGGAAGAAGATGCTACGTAGACTTTGAGAAGTTAACGCAGCGATTCAACAAACTCAGTATACAGAAATTAAAGCGGGGGCTAACAAAATTTGATATTATCAAGGCCTAGGGCTGACCACAAGCTTATCGTAGTCCCCTTGCCTAATATAATGGTGTAGTAAAAAGAAATCCATTATTATTTCAATACATGACGTTATTTATCTATATCTTGCGTTGCATAAGGCCGATAAGGCTCCGCTAGATGGCATTAGATAGATGACGCATCGAACTAAAAAAACTTTTCTGACAGTTTTGTGATTGGTTGATTCAGTTTTGTTTGAGCGTGCGTCAAAGGTGGACTCCAGCGAAGAGAAAAAACGATATATTTCACAGTTTTTCTTTGATTAGGGTGAAAACGCAACCCCGGCGACTGATATATTTTTACAGTCAATCACGTACAACTTCGATTTCATTCCGGTAATTTTAATGTAAAACATGCTTCACGAAGTGGAACATTGTCGAGCCCGATCCTCATGTAAGCACTATTTCAACTGCCCAAGAGCTAAAGATTGCACAAAAAATAGTTCGTTTTTACTTATTGAATGATATGTGGTCTCAACAAGATGGTGCCACATGCCACACAGCATGAGAGAAAATAGTTTTATTGCGAGAGAAATTTCTCCGTCGCGTAATCGTTCGTCTTGCTGATTTTAATTGACCACCAAGATCGTGCGATTCGGCAACTTTGGACAATTTTTTAGAGGGCCAGGCGAATGTTTATGCGTATAAACCATTAACTCTTGAGCACTTAAAAATTAACTTTCGGAATGAAATGGCTAAAAGATCGACCAATTTGTGCCAAAAAGTGGTCGAAAACTACCTCAAACGGATGGAAGTTTGCTAAAATTCGCGAAGCCGTCATTTGAATAATGCAATGTTCTACACTTGTGAAATGCCGAGGTACAGGATTTATAATAAAAATATATGGAAAAATTTTATCAAAACCTTAAGGGGACCCTCCCTTGATATTGGTCAAAAGTAAGGCAAAGTTTGTTTTTTTTTTTTAATTTTTTTAATTATTTTTTTTTTGTGGTAGAATGAAAAGGCGGACGAACTTACGGCTTTGACTCTTAAATTTATTTATTATGTGAGATTGAGATTAAAACTGCAAAAACATAGTCGAAATCCAAAACGACGACTACAAAATGACGCTTTTCGTCGGCTTCTGCTCAAAAAACATGGCCAAACAAGCCTACATGATCTTGTAGTAGACTAAAATCAAAAGTCGTAGTCATTACTTTGAAATTTTCTAGGCGCTGAACCCTAATTGAAACAGTTTTTGATAAAATAAATCGGACTGATAGATCAAGCCTGGTGCCTGAAGCTAGATCGAGAAACATGGTTACGAGAAAAACGCGTGAAAAGTTTTTAGAAAGTTTGCATTGCGCGCCTGTGTAAGACAGGTGTGTTCGGGAAGCTGCTATTTGAAAAATCCATGCAAAATCCCCTGAAACACATACTCTACAAATATATGGCTTTAATTTTTTGCGTAAAAAAATCGATTTTTTGATCCAAAATCAACCAAAATATTCTAGTACTGAAATCTCTCAATGTCTCAGCATAACTCTCGTATTCACGCTTACCTACCTGTAACTAAATTTACTCCTTTTTATTTTTCCTTCGATTATATTTTCCCAACTTACCGTGAATAGCGAATTGTCAATGCCACCAGCAAACGAAACATTTTTCCAAGTTGCGATAATAACGTGCTTAGGTATGAATGTTTCGGCACCAACGACACCCTCACGTATATCCCACATGGTACGTTCACGAACTTCGACGCCAAAACGGTCGGTGCGTGTAAGCAGATCACGTTCGAGGCTGTAATGGAAATGCGAAAGGAAAAGCATATGATAAACAGTGAAATAAACAAAACCGTGAAGGCAACAAACAAATATAAAATTAAGTTTAAATCGGAAATCGGTATTACTTATTACATACATATAAATATTTACTGGTTTATTGGTTAAGACAGCAGAAGAAAATATATTTCCCTTCTCCAAAGCAGAAAAGTAATTGAATAAAACAATAGTATTAAAGTATACATATGTATGTATATATGTATATAAAAAAGTTTCCTTTTTTTAACTCACAGTTGCACATTGTTTACATGTTGCGAATATTTGATTTGTTTGTCGAACTCATAAATCATATCACAACAGGTCAGCAGTACGCCGGCACACATATGCATGTACATATGTCTGTAACTTATATTTAATAACAATTTGCGAATCTGGTTATATTGTGGGTAATCAAATAGGCCGATGGCATGCGCTCACATGTAAATATTTACGCACGAAAAAACCGTTGCTTTATTGCAAGCCTCATTTGGCAATATTCGCATGCGTAACTTAGCTTTGTGGCCTTGGCTATTTTTAGGGATTCGGTGTATATTGATTGCTTTTGAATTGTTTGCATTTGTTGCTGCGTATTAATTTCGTTGTGCAACTCAAATAATCGTGTTGAATGAAAAAAGTAATAAAGAATATTTCGAAAAGCAGAGGCAGGCTGGGCTGAGTCATTTGTTAATTTTGGTCAAAATGAAAATGAAAATGAAATGGATAACCACAGCAATCACAATTTTGATAGTAATCAGTTGTTCAGGTACCGACATTATAGGTGTATCAACAGGAGTGCAACAGTCGCTTCTTCGTTTATCCATCCATTATCGAGTAGCAGCAAGAACCTTCGCCACATCATTCTTCAAACGGGGAGTGGAACTCTGCCGCTTTCTCTGCCACCACATGCAGATACCGCATCGAATACTTTCAGAGTTGAAAGGTTTGATCCATGCGGGCAACATTATATAGCCAGGGCAGCATATGTCAATTCGTTGAATTTTATCAATGTCTTCCTAGGTTTCATACAGCTCAGCTCCCTCAAAGCCTTCCTCTTGAAGACTGTCAACCTGCCAACTCTTTGAGCGCTGTCATCGTCCACATTTGGGCATCATAAATTCGGACAGGAATGAGGAGCGATAGTAGAGTTTAGTTTTTGTGCGTCAAGCGGGGACTTCAGCTTGGAAAGCGCTTTCTTAGTCCAAAGTAGCACAGGTTCTGCGTTAGATTTTCAAGCTGACATTGTTATTTGTGGTTTATGCTGGTTTTTTAAGTAACCAAAATCCCTTACAGCTGCGAGGTTATTGCTGCCACCAACTGCACGGAAGCCAAAACGTGAATGTGCTGATTTTTCGTTCCATGGCAGGAGATATCTCACTCTTTTTGTATGGGGAAAGTAAAACTTATAGAGTGGTAATTGAGGCCAATGATGTTAATAAGGGCATATACTCTTTAGAAAAAGTGCCTGCTATTTAAGTCCTCAGCTTTTCTTCAGCCATAAATTGATGAAGCCACATGAAAGAGAGTCATTTTATCTGAAGCACCGATTGGTAGCGAACGGTGAATAACTGCTCAATGGTAGATTTGCCAAATCTGAGACCACATCGTGATAAGATTCAATGAGTGTTGGCTTTAATTTTTCGCCCAACACACTCAATAACATCTTATAGGCTTGAAGCGGCTCATCTCACGATAAGTGAGGCATATTACAAGGTCTTCCACACACCCATAGGTTTACTTCGTCGGTCATCCTTTCTGCAGACCTTATACTACAAAAAAGTTGATGTATATTATTCGTCGGTTATTCCTAAATATACTTGAATAGCTCTACCGGTACTTCATAGGCCCTTGCTGCTTTGTTATTCCTATTCAAGCTTCATCAAAGTAGAATAATAGAAAGGCTCAAACATTTTTACATCATCAAGTAATACCATTTGGATACTTATGCAGAACGATTTATTTCCTTTTCTTCTTCTCCTTGGAATAAAAAGTGAAAATGCATACCTATTTATAAAATCCACTGTATACGCACAAGAGGAAATCGTTAATTGCAACTTCCTTCAAAGTAAGCGCCTCCTACTGGAATTCTTACACATTCTTTAATGCACTTTACAGAAAGAAATATGCAAATACCAACACTTGTAGGATGATTTGACTTCATAACTAAACTCATTTTGCATCATAAACTACCATAAGAATTATGACCGTCATAGACATGTAGAGACGCCCACTAACAAGTCACAGACATACTCACATTCAGTGACCCTGTAGGATAAATATCAGTTGGTATTTTCGCACCAACTAGTTCATCTTCCAACTTATACTAGTTATATACTAGTTCATTTAGGTTTGTTAATCAAAAATTAATAAAAACTAAAAATAAAATTGGGTTAAACAGTCTCGCCAAATAGCAAATGCCTTACCCCTGCAGGAGAAAAGCTGTACTAATATATAAGACTTCTAGTTCAATTATAGTTCAACTAAAGTCTATTCCAGCTTAACACTAGAAAATGATAAAAAAATTTTATCAGTTCCCTGTCTGTTTATAAGCCGCCGGTAATGGAACTAGTGGTCATTTCCACCATCACACCACTCTTAATCAATCCAATCCTAACCACAATCCATATACAATCCAGACAAAAGTTAACATTTCAAAGTCTTTGAACCATATACTCCAAGTATTCCATGGAGAAGCTACAGACAATTACTTTTGAAACTAATCTACAAAGATACTCTACCTAAAGTGGAACACATTGTGGAGTATATACGTATATAATTGGAGCTTTGTAACCGCTGAAGCGGTTTTCCGTCGAGCTTCTCTTCCGATTTGTGGTTTTGTATCTTGATGTTTTTCTAACAAACGGAGGGAACTGCAGTTTATACTAAGCCGCCTCCGAACGGCTGATGGTTTTTTTTTTATGAACTTTATCTCATGCCAGAAATATACTCAGAGGGGTAGACGTTCCTTGTCGTGGGGCGACCGCAATTAGAAAATTTAGCTAAATTTTTTATTTAAAATAATTTTCAATAACTTTTTGAGGTTAATCACACGGGGATTTGAACCTGAGGCTGCCGAATGGCAGTACGCAATGCTAAACACTTGGCCACAGTGGAGTATATACTACTCAAAAAATTTATAAGATTTTAAAGGCATTTGAAGATACTGCATCGGTTACAGACAATTCAAGGCCTGTACCATTGTTATGCTTGTTATACCTCAAATATCTCTTAAATACTACTAGTTACTGTAAGTGAAAGGTGGCCAGCGACCCTCAAATGTGTCTACTTCCTAACGTTCTCCAGAGACTGATTTTTTTTTTTTTGGCTCAGAATTAAAGAACACGGCAAGATGGTTGCCGCAGAACACGAGCGAATATGGCTTTAATGTGAAAGAAATCTCCCAGCCGCGTAATCTCTCGTCTTGGCGATATCAATTGGCCACCGAGATCATGCGATTTGCGACCGTTGGACAATTTTTTGGGAGGCTTGGGGAAAGACCAGGTTTTTGCGGATAAACCTTTAAATATTTGGGAAATATGTGCGGCAAGTGGTCGAAAATTGCCTCCAACAGATCGAAGTTTACGTAAATCCTCGAGGCGGTCATTTTAATAATATAGCGTTTCATATGATGGCAAGATTCAAACTTTATAATAAAAAAAAAGAATTTCAAGAAAAAAGTCTCTATTGCAGTTTCAAACATTTACTGCATATGAATATGAAACTTATTGCGCACTTGCTACTTCCTTTAGTAATTGCGATTGTTAAATCACGAGCAAACCACAGCTAACTGGTAGCAAGACGTGAAACGGTCCAATGGCACACTACAAAGGAGTAGCGATTGGATTACTCCAATAGATGGTATGATCACCACTTGCTCGCTGGGTATGTGCTCACGCATACACATGCACTGAAGTTATTTCACCTTCATTACAGCTGCCCACAGTACAGCGCATCCTTTCAATTGGAGAATATAAATAAATTCATTGCTGCTTTTAAAGACATTTTTTGCTTATATTTTTTTTCTATTACACATTATTTGCATACCGTGCATTTCTGCTTTTTTTATAACAACAAGAAGTTCAGTAGACCGCGCATTGGAATGTGTAATGCAATGCAATTCAATTGTGAATGCGGTTAACAAAGAGCATTAAATTGTTGTAATACTAATGCCGCTTGGCAGCTATGCGACAGCTTTAGCTTCAACTTCAGCTGCATTGCATTGTAATATAGCTTAAAGCTCTTGAAAGGGGGAAAAAATGAATAAATAAATTTTAATAGAATTAATGCCTTTGTAGTTTTGAAATTTCTGCTAATGCATTTATAGCTTAGTTCTGAGAAAAGATTTGAGCAAACACTAAAGCTGTGGTAATGAGTTGGCGATATTCTTGGGAAGTACTGCCAACTGTTTTGTTCATTAATTAAAATAAATGGGATATGAAACATAGAAATTTGAGCTCATAATGTAAAAATCATTGAAATACATTGCACTCTGATAGATACTAAAATTTCCAGTGATAATTGCACTGATTAGGGTCTAATCTAGCCTGGAAATATTATCTTACTGATGACTATTACTGATCGAATAAACATTCCGTCAGCCGACTATGACCAAATTTGTTTAGCTTGAACAACTACAATGTAGTGGGCTGAACTTTTCAAAAAGCTGCCAAAACGCATGCAAAAGCTTCTTTTTAGAAAACATTTACGGCTATTGGAATTTGAATGTTTTTCGCCAAAAACAGATAAAGATGCAACATAAAAAAGTTCTATCAGAAACTGTAGACATCTCTCTGTGTCGGTCAACTTTAAATAAGATCAATTGACTCTTTATCGTGTAACTTCTTTAAGCGAATACTAGGAAATAAATATAATAAGAGCTGTAGAGATACTTACATAAGTAAGGAAGGTACAATCTTCTGCGGATGGTACCGATATTTAGACTGGAAAGAAATGAAACCGAATGGATATGCTGGTAATGAGGAC